CTGACCCATCAGTCATCTTCTGTACCCATCCTCTTATCCACCCATCCACCCATCCACCCATCCATCCATCCACCCATCCATCCATCCATCCATCTGTCTGCCTGTCCATACATCCGCTGATGGTACGTCACTCTCTAGGACTCAGGCCCAGACTTTCCAGGCAAAACACTCAGCCCCACAGGGATGTACCCACCTCAGAATCATGGTGTTCAGGGAGCGCGGGCAGGGGCTGAGTGGATGGGACACACATCCTCCCTGCCCTCCCAGGACAGGTGGGATCATGAGCAGAGCCGCCAGATCACAGCCCCGGTAACGGTACTGAAAGCAGCTTCCAGCACAGGGGGCGGCCCAGGTCACTGCTGCTACCCTTTCATTGAGGTATTTGGTGACCACCTGCCGTTGAATTGGATCACTCAGTGACCACTCACCTGTCTGCACCTGCTAAGCTGTTCTCGGCGGCACATGGATTGCCCCCGGAGCCTGAGGATCACACATCTGAACATGCTTATCTCTTCCTGCCAGCCCATGATGGGCTGCCTCTCCCACCTCCCTTCCAAGGGCGAGGCGCTGTGACAGGCATGGGCACAGGGCGAGGGCGCTGGTGGAAATGAGTAAGACAGGCTCCCCAACCTCCAAGAGTTTCCTGGGGAACTGGGCACAGAGAGAAGAAGGCCGTCACACACCGTCTTGTAGGCGGTGTCACACCTCCCCTGCAGGGCCTCGCTCAGCACTGCTCTCAGGTGGTAACTGGCCCCCGATCACTTTGCCATTACAGAAATCAATAACTTGAATTACTCCAAAAAACGAGCCCCGTCGTGGCCCTGCAGAGCTAATTTTTCTGTGTCGGCTTTTGCCCACATGCTTCCCTTTGGGTGTGAAATCTGTCCGTAGGAGTCAGTCCGGGCAGAGCAGAGTCTTTGACTGACCGTGACACTGGACGAAGGAGAGTGGATCCGGGTCAGACACTTAGGTCCAAGTCTTTGCTCGTCGCTGTGGGCGATGGTCAAGCTACCTAACCACCTGGAGCACCAGCGTCCTCATCTATAGAATAAGGACCGGAGCGTAACCACCCAGCAGAGTGTTAGAGAATTAAGTGGAATACTAATGTGCGCAAATATTCCTGGCACATATTAGGGCATCAGCGAACCCTTGGATAAATGCCTGTTTATTCTGTGGAAGGATCCGAAACCTGGCTATAAATCTATACGATGAGGCCGCTGCATAATGAGGGCCTAGTGTAACTTCGGCAATAACAATAATCTCTGACGCTGGAGAAACACACTCCCATTTGTGAAGATGCATTGACATAACGCTCTCATTTTACAAATGGCAAAGCTGAGACCCGGGACAGTTACATGAAGTCCTGGGGGTCCGCGATCGGTGCAGCCCCCTGACCGCCTTCACGCTCGCCCACCTCCTCCGTCATCCCTGACTCGAAAGCCCAAGTCCCAGCACTGCTCCAGGACGCTGCCCGCCAGGCTCAGCCACCCAGCAGGTGCTGAAGAGACAGGCCCTCGTCCGGCCACTCAGAGAAGAGCTGTGAGCTGGGCACAGTCTGCCCTGGGCGCTGCCAAGGGAATAGATCCTCCCGCAGTCGCCTGAGCAGGGTCCTGTGGGAACCTCAGAAGGCCGGACCCTGAGGGGAAAGGAAGAATCTGACACCGGGAACATTCGCAGCCGGGCCTCACCCACCGCTCAAAACCAGTTGTGTCCAGCCTTTTGCTGGGATGCGGGTGGGAGGTTACATACCCCTGATGATGATCTCCTGAAAGCTGTGGATTCTGTTCCCCAGATAAGGCTGCATCGTTTTGCACACAAGCGCAGGAGAGGAGGGTCACGGTGAAGAGCTCCTGGCATAAGCCTGGGCTGTTTTAAGATTTTCTTAAACACTAAGGGCCTTCTCTCTTGGACATCCCACCCCTCATCACATCAAATATTTTCATATCTATCCACAGCCACTCGCGTAAACACACACATACACGAGTCTATTGAATTGTAGCTGACTGGCACAGTGTTGTCTTTTGTAGATATGTAATAAAACACTTTCAATTTTGTGCTTTCTTTTTCTATTTTGGAGCCAATAAACGTTTTCAGTAAATGACACTGAAATGTATCAGACGTTCAGAAAAAGACACAGATCCTAAATGAACAGCTCAATGGATTCTCACGAGCACACCGGTACAGCACCCAGAAGCCCACCAGGCCCCCTCTCTCCCCCCGCAGGGCAGCCGCTATCCTGACTTCTAACACCGTAGATTAGTTTCATCTGTGTTCTAATTCTTTTATGAGTGGGATTGCAGAGTTCACACTCATTTTGAGTCTGGCCGCTTTCATGGAACCCAATTCAGGTGTCAGGCATTGTCAGAGGCCTGTGAACAGCTCATGGGCTCCGGGTACTGCTCAAACCAGGCCCTCTCGACCTTGCCTTTATTTTTTTTTAAATAATTTTTTATTTTTCCATTACACTTGTCATACCATATGATATTCCTTCCAGGTGTATAACCCAGTGGTTGGACATTACATAACTTACTAAGTGATCGCCCCAATACCCATATACCCATCTGGCCCAGAACCTCCAGGGGAGCTTTGAAAAACCCTAATGCCCAGGCTGCACCCGCACAACAATGAATCGGGGGGTAGGACCGGGCCTCGGCAGTTTTCCTTGCTCCTCGGATGACACCAGTTGCAGCCGAGCATGAGCAGCACTGGTCTAAGCAGTTCTGTGAAGCATTAGCATCCCTGTGTGCACCTGGGGAAAGCGGGGCCCCAGGAGTCTGCACCGCATGCGAGAGTCATGGAGCCAGAACCCATTCAGATCTGACTCCGAGCGCACCATCTTCGGTGAGCAGAGAGCCAAAACCCAAAACGCGGCGGGGTGCCTCCTGCAGAGACCCCCCTCACCGTGAGACCCGCTGCAGCTGTGGCGAAGGGAGGTGGGGGTTCCCAGCTACACACGCCTCCAGGAGAAAGGCAGCACCCCAAGGGCTGGCTGTGGGAGACTCACCTCATGGCATCCAGACTCCACCTTTGCCCGGAACCTCTGGAAGCCACAGTAAAGTCTTTGCAGGTGGGACAAGCTGCTGGTTGGGGTCCTGGGGAAATTACCCACAGCTGGGTACTAGCTCTGACCCGGGCCTATTTCCGGGCGCCGTGCACGATTCCTCCACTTGGGGGCACCACGAGCTTCTGTAAACTGATTTTTTTCAACACACCCCCTTCCGCCTTTGGCCAAAGGAAGTCAGAAAGTGGATAATGAGGGGGAAGCAGCAGCCCAGAGGGCGGGAGGCGGGGCGGGGGGGAGGTTCTGCTCCTGGGGCCTGATGAAGCTTGTCTCTGGCTGCAACCGGACCAGGAGAGAGGCCACTCCCCCATAACTAAGCCAGCAGCGGGAAAGCCGGGCTGAAAAAGCACACCAGGAGAGGGAAAGCCGGGCTGAAAAAGCACCCAGGCTGCCCCTGTGGGGGGCCCATGAGGAGTGCAGTCCACCCACACTCCTAGCTGGGAGGCACCAGACCTACCTCAGAGTCCAGGCACAGCTCCAAGCCCTTCCCTGGGAACCTGGGAAACCCTAACCTTAGGATGGCTGAGGACCTCAAGCTGCTTCGGGGTTGGGGGGGGGGGGGGGGCGCGTCTCTGAAGCTGGATCTACCATCTTCCCCACAGTCTGGAACCAGACTGTCTAGATTCAATGCCAAGCACTTCCCAGCTGTGTGACTTTGGGCAAGTTACTTCACTTCTGTGAGCCTCGGTCTCCTCATCTGTAAGATGGGAATAATAGTCCGCAACATAGAGGGTTGTTGTGAGGATTGAACGATGAATTATGTAGAGTCTTAGCCTAGTGCCTAGCACACAGTAAGTGCTAAATAAACGTTAGCTACTATAATTGTATTATTACTGACAATATAAAGAATGTGGTTGCAAACAGGACAGACACAGTGGACCTGGGGGAACAGCCTCCATTGTAACAATCCCCACACACCCCGGGTTTGAGCAGAGGCCGAGAGTCCAGCTTGCCCATGGCTCAGGCAAAGGCCCAGCTGCCCCTCAGAAACAGTATGAGCTTCAAAGCCACCCAGAGTGTTGTCCAGCACAACCCAGAGGGAACCCCTCCCCAGACCTCTACCCAGAGGCTGGAGCTGTTGTTCCCCGAGATGGGGGAGATCCTCTCTTGGCCCAAGCACTTGCGTGTGCGACCCTGCCTCCCGCATCCTCAGGCAACTTCCACCCGGGTGCCATCCCCTCGGTGTGAGAGCGAGCACTGGCTCAGGAGACCTGGGTTTTAAACTTGACATTATCATCATCAAGCAGCTGTGTGACCTGGAGCCACTCACTCACCCTCTCTGGGCCTCTGTTCTACCTCATTTAGATGATCTTGAAATCCCCTCCCAGCTTTAGCATATGGTTTTAGCAAAGTGTGTGGCACACAGTAGGTGTTCAATAAGTGTTATTTTATGAAATCCAAGACACAACTCTGCTAGGTTTCAACACCCACATACTTGTTTAGTCTTTAGAACTAAACGCTGTGCGATCCAACACCTGACAGCCCAACCCAAGGTAAGAGCTCAAGAAATGACTCCGTGCCTTAAGAGGCTAACCCAGAAAGGTAAAGCAAGTCTCCATAAAACCCAGAGAAGAGATGGTAAAACTCCTCTTTGGATCCTGTCTGGAGTCACAGCTGAAAAAAAAAAAAAAAAAGAAAAGAAAAGAAAAGAAACGGGTATCTATTGAGTTAACCTGGCTTTCCGTCTAACCTGTTCCCCCACCTAAGACCGCAGTGCCCCATATAAGCTGCAGATAAGCTGCAGATTAGAGAGTCTGGAATGCGGCCTCCCCACTAGACCACAGGCTTACGATGACAGGGTCCGTCCTGCAGCGTCAGGCCACATTCAGCCCACCTGCTCGGCGTGAGGCGGGCGGGCAGCCTCCCCTCCCCTCCCCTCCCTGCGATCCTGGGGCAGAGAACTGTCCTCCCTCACAACAAGGAGAAGCAGCACAGGGCCTCAAGCTCAGCAAGTCCTTTTATTGGAAAAAGAAATAACAAAACAAAAGGCCGCCGCATCACCTGTGCCCAGCCAGCCCACTGGAGAGGCACAGGTGAGACACAAGGCCCAGTCACACAGTGGGCCAGGGTGGGCTCAGGCCGGGGCCAGGGGTCAGGGGGCTGTGGAGGAGCCCACTGGACTGCAGCTCTCTCGGGCGACTCTTGGATCAGAACCCACTTGGGCTCGGGAGCTGGGACACCCTCTCTAGCTCTCTGGGTGGGCATCTGCTTCCCACATGCTGCTCCTGTGTCCGAAGACAATCAGGCCCCTCTCCAGGCTCAGAAAGCTGCCTGCGGAGGCTGGTCTCTCCATCTCCTCCTAGCACCTCCTGCCACTGAGGCAGGCAGCCTCCGATGTGCACCTTCAGGGCACCCGGACGGGGCAGCTCCTTCCCCTGGACACCCTGAGCCTGGGCAGCAGGGACGTATGGGCTGGATGTTCCTCTTTCCTTTCAAGAAGGAGGTTTGCCTTTTTCCCTGCGGGTTGCCGGCTCCCTTGAATGTCCGAGAGGCCTCACTTAGTCTTAGAGAATCCCGAAGCGGGGGCGGGCTGAGTATGAGCTCTGTGGCCCTGCTGCCTTGTCACGGGGGCTGGGACAGGGGCACGGAAGGCCCCAGGTGGGCTCTGCTCTCCTAGAACCCCAACTTCTCTTCTGCTAGAAGGTACACAGTAGAGTCAGAAGGTGAGGAGAACCTTTCAGGTAGGGAAAAGGCCTGGAAGAAGAGCCAAGCTAGCAGCCACGGGGCAGGGGCAGGGGCAGGGGCAGGGGCAGGGGCTTGAGGGCATGTATGTACAGGGGGCAGGTTGGGCCCACGCAGGGAAGCAGCCACAGACCGTCGCACTGGAAGGTCAGACAGGATGCAGAGAGGGGCGGTCATCGGCCTGGCAGCCAGGGGGAACGTACAGTGCACTCACACACACACGTGCGTCACACACCTACACACACGTGCATCCACGCACATAGTGCACTCACATTCATCCTACGTGCGCCCCCACTCGTGCTCACATACATGTGGCTCTAACCTCAGGAAGTTGGCTTCGGTTCTGGAGGGTCGAGCCCCCAAGGCTGCATCTCTCCATGGAGCCTTTCTCCAGACCCCACATCACCCCCCAGAGCCCGAGGCTGTGTCCCAGGCCCGACACCTGGTTGCCTACAGAGTCTCGGGAGTTGGGTGCTTCTTGGCAAGGCCATGGTGGCCTCAGGCTTTGGGTGAGGGCAGGGAGCCACAGGTCTGAAGGAGTTCAGGAGGGGACTGAACAGCTAGCTCTCCACCACGGCGGCCATGGTCTGACCACTCCCACCTCCCCAGACCTCAAGTTAGGTGGAGGCAGGATCGCAGACAGGCAGAGGCCTGGGGTGGCATCAGGAAGCACAGACACGGGGAGTCAGCCATGGGAGCAGGGCCCAAGGGGAGGGTGTCCTGGGACGGGGTGAGGAATCATGCAGGATGGGAGTTCTCTACGTAACACACCTGGGCCCTCTCGGGTGTTGAGAGAGCTGCTGCAGAGGAAATGGGTTGTTCAGATTGTGTTGTCCCCACCCCAGCCTCCGTGTGACCCAGACCAGCCTTATGGGGAGGAGCCAGGTCAGGAAGGGGACCGTCCTTCCCTGGGGGCCATGGCAGGGTGCGTGGCTGATGGCCTGCAGCAAACACTGGCCAGTCACCCTCCCGCCCACCCTGGGGAGCAGGTGGGCCCACAGAATGACTCAGAAGCGGGTGCTCTGGTAGCGCAGCCGTCGCAGGTCTGCAAGGCCTTCGGTCCGGCCATACACCTCCCGGCAGGGAGTCTCGGCCAGTCACCGGGACCCCGCCCCACCGCCCCCCCCACTGCTGCTGCCGCTGGCGCTGCTGCTGCTGCCACTGCTGGAGCTGCCACTGCTGCACCGGTCCTCGTAGATGGAGACCTCGATCTGGGGCAGCATTAAGGAGGGCTACCAGCTGCCCGCAGGGAGACAGGAACCTTTGATGGAGGCCAGCTGGGGAGCAGGAGGCACGGCTGGTCCTGCCTCCTAGACAGTAAGAACCTGAGGCCTGGGGAGCTAGACCCCAAGCCCCACTGCACACTCAGCTCCATTGTGGAGACGTGCAGGGCCAGGCACTGTGAGGGTGCACAGAAGGATCAGGAGCTCACTTTCTAGTGTCTAATTACTGAATCCCAGGACAGCCCGTGCTGGAGATGTGGTGTTACTGTACAGGATGTGCAGGTCTTTGGTGTCCTGAGTTCAAATTCCACCTCTCTCACTCTAAACCAGTCACTTGTTGCCTGTCCATTTGCATGTCTGTAAAATGGGTATAATAATCGAATCTTGGGATTGTTGTGAGGCTTAAATGAAGTAAAATGCACCGGTGCCGGGCACATAGTACAGGCTCAGTCATAACAAGCGCCTCTCGCTGGGCTTTGTAAACGTGAGGCTCTGGTATTTGCGTTTTCTTTACTCTTTCCATTTTCTATTGAAATTTATTTTTTAACCATTCTCTTCTTGCTGCTGCTGACCAGGGAAGGAAGTGTGCACACTTGACCAGGTGGAGTGAGCAGACCTATAACCCACCCCTCGGCCAGCCACCACCAAGGCCTCGTTGTTCTCATCTGTGAAAGGGGGACAACAGGACCTCCCATGTGGGATTAAGGAGGTTTATATGATACTAGTGACCCCGTGCACGGATTTGTGCACATTGAAAGGAAATTAATTAGAAGGTGGCTGGTGGGGCAGGACTGGGTGAGACATGCCGGACACACCCTGGAGCCAACCTTCCGTGGTCCCTCCCCAGCGTCTGCAAAGTGAGCGCAGTCCCTCCGACAGGTGGGGTCCCTCAGCCTGGCCTGCGGGGATCGGGCCAAAACCGCCTCTCCAACATCCCCCGAGGGGTCCTGGAGTGCGAGAGGGCACTCTGCAAAGTTGCTATTGTAAAGGGTGTGGAACTCAAACGCAAGTGTGCAGTAAACCAGATTCGGGGCCGACAGTGCCCCAGCAACAACATACCCCATGGCCAAAGGTGGACAGCATGTGCCGGGCCCTGTGAGGAATCAGGCTCCCTCCTCTCTGGTTTCGGGGTGCGTCACCCTGAGAACCGCCACTGCCAAGTCACTGCAGCTCGTCAGCTCCTGAGTTGAGCGTCTGCCCCCTGATGGTCAGTGTGCATCATAGCAACCAGTCAGACAGGCGGAGGGACACTTAGCATATTCGCCTTTTATATAGATAGATTGTAAACATGTAAATGTAGTTGGAGATTTGCATATTCCCTGAGGGGCAGTACAGCCTTGCAGTTAAGAGTGGGCCTGGGCTCAAAGCCATGAGTCAGTGACTTAACTTCAGTGTGCTCATCGATAAAGGGACATAAGTTACCCACATCATAGGGGTGTTGTGGGTGTTGTGGACCCATAGTTTCAAAGCACTGAATATGCTATCTGGCATGTACTAAGCACTGAGTAAATACAGCTCAATAAATAGAAGCAAACCCTGACATTCACAAACAGCACCAATAACTTATGGTGAAGGGAGAGGGTTGGTGACCAGACATGTGGGGCACCCTAAAAACCCTAGGGTGGTCCCATTTCCTGGTAGCCTCACCACAGACCCCACTGGTTGGCAGCTCTGTGCCCCCCATACACACACACACACACACACACACACACACAGAACAGACGGAAGGATACAACCCTCATCCCACGCTCAACGGGGTCCGTGAGCAGGAGGCCTCGAGGGGCAAAGATCTTCTCATTCTGCTCTTGGATGTAGCGTGTGATCTTCTTGAGAACCTGCAAGGAGAGGGGCCGATTGAGGATGAGGTGCGGCAGGGAGCCCTGGGAAGGGGGTGCAGGGTGGCCAGGGAGGGAGCACCTTCTCGTAGTGGGTCTCCATGCAGAGGAAGATGAAGTAGGCTGTGGCGCAGGCCAGGCAGCCCTCCAGGTAGGAGCTGCCCCCAATCTTCTCCGCTTCTGCGTAGAAGCCATTGAGGGTCTTCACAGTCTCCTCAAAGAGCTGCCGCTCAATCTAGAGGGAGAGAGGGTCAGAGAGAGAGGCTCAGAGATCCAGGCCAAGGTCAGCCTCCCTGGGGTGTGAACAGTCACCAGCTGAGGTGCGGGGAGTGGTAGGACGACACCAGGGGTGGGGGCAGCACACAGGCAAGACCAAGAGGCTGCAGGCGCCGGTGGAGCAGAAAGAGCACTGGACTGGAAGTCAGGAGAGCTGGGGTTCAGACCTGGCCATCAACTAGCTATGTGACCTTGGACGAATGATCTAACTACTCTAGCCTCAGTTTCCACATCTATAAAATGGGAATGAAAATGCTACTTGGGCCCTAGCTGGTTTGGTTCAATGGCTAGAGTGTCGGTCTGCGGACTTCTGCGGACTGAAGGGTCCCAGGTTCGATTCCGGTTAAGGGCACATGCCCGGGATACAGACTCGATCCTCATTGATGTTTCTATCTCTCTCTCCCTCTCCCTTCCTCTCTGAAATCAATATAAATAAATAAATAAATAAATAAATAAATAAATAAATAAATAAATAAATAAATAAAATTTAAAACAAATAAATAATAAAGATTTTTTTTAAAAAAAAAATCCTACTTGGCTTCCCTTGGAAACAGGAAACTCCTACAATATCCTAGATGTGAATGCATTAGACAAGAATCCCAGTGACTGTGTCACCCCCACCCCTGTTTTGATGGCTGAGAGAGAGCTCAAGACCTAATTGGTAGGGGCTCCCCATGTTACGAAGGGACTTCAACGTCATAAGAGTCATTGGGTGAGACCTCAGAAGTGTCTTTCCAGGAAGGGGCACTTCCATCTAGACAAGAGTTCACGCAGAACACGACAGTCCTGTGTGTTCCGACCACTGCAAAGCTGTCCCACCTGCATCCGTAATCATCACAGCTAATATTTACTTGGCACTGTCTCCATGCCAGGCTTTTTTTTAATGTATTCTTTCCTGTGACCCTCATCCTTCCCTCAGAGAAGCAGGACTATCATCCGCTTCCACAAGGGAGGACTGATGGGAGCTCCAGCTTCCTAACTGGTTTCCTTGCCCCCAGCCCAGCCAGAGCAGCTCCGATCAAGAGCTCCCCAAGCCTTCATCTATTTCCAGGCAGGACCCAGGAGGTCCTCCAGTGCCTGGCCCTGGGTCCCGCTGAGCCATCTCCTACTCTGCTCCTCACTCCGGCCCCACGCCAGCCACACTGACCACCATGCTGCCGTGTCCTGAACACTCTGCTGCAAACTCTCCCGCCAGACACCCCACTGTCCCCTGCCCCCCTCCCTTACTTCCCTCAGGTCTCACCTTGTCCAACAGGCCACCCCCCACGATGCCCTATCTCTAGCTCTCTCTATCCATCTTGCCCCCCCCCCTTATTTTTCTAGTATTTGTGATCACCTGAGCTACTATATATTTACTTGTGTGTTTGTTTTTATTTGTATACCCTCTGGTAGAAAATAAACTCCATCCGTTTGCTCTTACATCCCCAGTGCCTGTTGCATAGTAGATGCTCCATAAATACTTGCTGAGTGCTTAGTGGACCTGTCCAAGGTTACACAGCTCTGACCCGAGTCTGGCTCTTCCCTGGGCCACCTTACACTGGACACCTGGGTTGGAAGGTCATGCTCCAAACCCAGCAAGTGTCCAAGTGTCTGTCACCCCGTTTTTATACTCTACAGAGCACCCTGTTCCACACTCACCCCCACAGGGCTAGAACTGCCCATCACACAGGTTAGGAACCTCCCACAAATAGAAGCATTGGGGTTCCAAGCCACTGTCCCTACACAGACCTGGAGTGAACACAGATAAAATTCTGTCCATCTGGCCCCTGACCTAAGCCCTACTGCTCTACCCCGGGTCACCCCACCCCAAAGAACAGGCATGCTAAGATAAGGAGACCCACATGGCTCCCCAAAAGCTGGTTAGGGGGTCAGATCAGCAAAAGCCAGGCCTGTCTCACCTTCTCAAACCCACTTAGATCTGCCTGGCTGCTGGATGAAAGGGTCAGGGTCTGCCCTCTGACCTCCCCCAAAGCCAGGTCAGTTCTAAGCAGCCTGGGATGGAGGCTACACACACCCCCAGAACCAGGAGCAAAACTCCGCCGAAAGAGCTGATGCCTTGCAGGGAGCTGAGTCTGCAGGGAGGGCTGTGGGAACAGCCCGGGTTTGGGAACTTGGAGGGCTCCCCAGAAAATACTAATGTGGGTGAGAAATGCTGCTAAAAAGTGGAGGTTCCTGAACCCAGTCCAGAAACGGAGCCGGCCTCTCTGATGACACCTAATACCATCCACCAGGACTTAGAAATTTACATTTAACCAGCTCTCCAGGTGGTTCTCGTGCTACTGAAACGTGAGAGCTGCTGGACTAGAAACTGAGGTTTCTTCCGTGCTGACTTTCAATGAGGCGACAGCGAGACCATGTTAAGAACGTCTTTTGTTTGTAATTCTTCCATGTGAAGTGGCGGAATAAGTATGTGTCATATACTACTTTTATCCTGGGGGGAAAATACACTTGAATAAGCCCCTCAGTTCCATCCTGGCCTGTGTTCCCAGCTTAGAAACAGACGTCCTTACCCGGCCATCCAGCTCTGGGGGGAACTTGGTCTGGAACTGACAGATGGTGCCGTCGCTGTAGTCTCTCTGGATGAAGATCTTGGTGGCCAGGGACGCACTCCGCCGCAGCTCCTGCAGATTGTGCACCTGGGCAGACCCAGAGAAGACGCGAGCAGGGTGACCATCCTTCCCGGTCTGTCCGAGACTGAGGGGGTTGGGGGATGGGGTCTTTCAGCGCTAAATTCAGGGACCTTTCTGGGAAACTGGGACAAGTTGGCCCCTACATGTGCTCCAGGAAGGTCACGGGGAAGCAGGACGGTAGAGTTCACCCCAGGAGATGCCCTGAGCAATCCCAGGAAAATCTAGAAAAAGCCTGAAGCAGAGCCAACACTGAGCCAAAATGAGAGGTTCTGGAACCATCAACAGAACCAGAAACAAATTTTAACGAGAGGAAAAGACTTCCTGGTGGCTGGCCCAAACCCCTCTTCCCTCCCCCCCCCCACCCCCCCACCCCCCCGACCCCACACACACACACCTGGTGGGGCCTTCCATACTTTCATTCATTCAGCAAGCATCAAATGGTCACAACTGGTCAGGCCTTGGCTTAGGGGACCCAGTACTGAACAAGATTGAGGTGTCAGACGCTGAGTGGAGCTTACAGCAGGTCTGGGAGAGGGGAGTGTGGGGGGCAGAGAAGTACCTGATGTGCTCTTGGACTCAGGGAGATTCGGGTTCAGGCCAGTCAAGTTATGGCCTGGGTAGGAGAGCACCATGAATGGTTTTCAGGTCCAGCACTTCTCACCATAGGAAAGGAGAGTCTCACAAATGCCCAAGCCCCCAGAGAAAATTGTGGATAAAGTGGGCTAAAGCCAGAAACAGAAGAAATTCCTTGTCCTGGTAAGAAGGAGGGGGGTGACTTCTGTCCCCTGTCCACACCTGCAGATTTGACATTGACACAGACTAGCATCTGTGGGAAGTGGACTCAACTCCACAGAAGAACAGGGCCCCTTTCTTCCACTTCCAGCCTCTCGTCCACGTTCCAGACAAGCAACCCACTGGGTGAAATATGCCAGACATTAGAGCCTCGTGGAGACCAAGCCCCAAAGGCAGAGTGAACACACAACCAGTTCATCCCGTGTAATTAAAGTGAATCCATTCCGTCACTCAGCTTCCATTTATTGAGTCCTCACTATTGCCAGGCTCCAGGGATGCTGAGCAGAAGACAGTCTGAGCTACAGGGAGGGAGACGGGTAAATATATAATGAATTCGACTGTGATAAATGCTACAGAGAAGTAACCTCTTACCCAGAAGCACTGACTCAGAAAGCCTTCCTGGGATCCTGTTGAGTCATAAAGGAAGGCCCGGAGTTACCAGTGGCAGAGGCAGGGGAGGGGCTGGGGCAGGGGCAGGGGCAGGGGCAGGGGAAGGGGAATAATAGGGAGGAAGAGGCAACCCAGACAGAGGGAGAAGCTTGTGCAAAGTAATGGAGATAGCAGAGAAGGCAGTCTACGCCAATGAGTAGACTTCACTGGAGGCAGATTTCAGCAAGTATGGAATTGGTTTGCAAATCAGACAAGAACACTGGGAATAGTATAAAGAATTAGATTTTTTTAAAAATTACTAGAGGGGTTTTTGGAGGTGAAGATTTAAGATGGAAAAGAGTTACTTAAACGCTGGGGAAAGAATAAGTAACGTGAAAAAGTTTGCCAATGTAGTAGTAGGAGCAGATAATTGGTAGATCAAGGTCCTGAAAGGTACAAATCAGAAACTGACCATTAGTCAAGACCTTCCTAAATCCAGGTGAGCCTTGTTCTGCCTAAGAGACACAAGCCCAAAGGATTGGAATTGGATTAAATAATGTATAAATACTCCTCTAGTCTTAATAGTTCTTGATTCCTCTAATCAAGGTTTCCATTGAGTAAGTCTCCTTGACATCTACTAGGATCCTATGATGACTTTGAAAAATAAAGAATGCTTTGCTTATATAAATAAGTTACTCATCATTGTGTCTGCTCTAGCTGGTTAAAGTTTTATACTGTTTTATTTTTTTTAAAGAAAAGGGTGGTGGCCTTTTCCCACCTTCCTAACCCAACTGACATGAGCCAGTCCATCTTGAGGATGGACTCTCCTCCCCTGGAAGGATCATTCTGGAAATTTTGTGAGTGGTGCACAGGAAGTGGGCATGACTGGGATAGGGGGCCTCTTGGAAGGTTGACTAAAGTGGGTCCAATTCCAGAAAAATGTGGTGAAAATGGAAAGAAAAGGAAATGCCAGTGCTTCAGCCATTCTGACATGGACTCAGCCTCCTCCCCTCCAACATCCTCCTCTGTCTGAATTCACACACATGCCCTGTGAGCTACCAGGACTGGCTAGCTGTTGACCACAGCCACCTCTTCTTCCTCCTAGGCGCACAGCTAGATTAAGTCCCAGCCTCCCTGGCAGTTAGTTAGGTGTGGCCATGGGACTGAATGAAATGTGAGTGGAAGTGATAAATGTCATTTATAGGCTTGGCTCATAAAGACCAGCCACTCCCCTGTGGTCTTTTCCCTTCCACAGAAACCAAGGGAGACGCGTGTGGAAATGAAGATGGTGGAACCACAGTTGGAAAGAGCTTAAGTCCCTGAATCGCAGCCTAGAGGAGATCCACCTGCTCGCTGATCAGGAACACGGGTCTCAGACTCTACCGAGTGGGAAATAAACTCCTACTGTATCATGCCATTGAGATTTTAGGGTGCTACCTTACGTAATGCAGTCTCATTTTCTCTTGGCTTTTACCCACAGGTTCTCAAAGTTGCCATAGTGGGAGGGGCCAACACCCTTTCCAGCCCTAACCATGTCCTGAGCTTTAGGACACTGTGCTGGCCTTGGGGGACCAGGGATCCCCTTCCCTCCCTGGAGAGTGTTTGTGGGGTCTTAAGGAGTTGCTGGAGGACAGTATCAGATACTCTTTATACGGCAGAGCCTTCGTTTCCAAGATCTACTTAAAGCACACACATCACAAACTGGTCTGTAGTTGGTGAAGAGTGGGATTCAAGGCAAGGCGGTGTCTCCTGGCCCTCTCCAGCCCTGGTGGCTCAGTTGTGAGACACCAGAAAGCTCTGATGGAAAGATGGGCCACTGGGCCAGGAGCAGGAAACCAGGTGCTCGTCCTGGCCACACGAATCTAGAAAGTCTTTCCTTCTCCAGGCCTCCATTGCTCCAACTAGAAACTGAAGAGGTTGGAACTAGATGTAATCATTAAAGCCCCTTCCAGCTCTGACATCCTAGATGCCTCATCAGGGATTATGAATGCAAATGTTTCGGGGACTAAGCGTGTAAGTGGGCCAGGTGGGGACTGTGGCTAATTGGAGAACTCATGTCCTCATGTCTCACAGAAACACCTGATCATTGCCATGTGAAGGTGTGCCTGGGTTGTGATTCTGATTTTTAAAGAAAAGCCATAAATCCAGACACCCTTAACATCAAATAGCATGATTTTTAAATATTTCAAAGAAATTTTTTACATTTATAAGCACTAAGCAGACCGAATAAGGCACACCTTGGAACCAGCATCATTCCTAGAGCTGCCAGGACTTCTGAGTAAGGAATCCCATGGCAGAGGGCCCTTGGGCCAGAGCAAGAGCCAGGTGACCAGCCACTTGCCAGCTTTCAGGAGGCGGGCAAGGGTTTTTAGCCAAGATCCTGATGCTCTGAAACCCCACAAGAGGGTCCCAGAACATGCACACACCACTCCCGGGGGTCACAGCTTCTGCGTCTCTCCTGGGTGGTCCACCTGGACACTGACCCAGAGACCTGGGCTTCTCATCCACTTCTTATCTTCCTCAACCTTCCCCTCTCTCCCATCACTGTTCCCAATAGAGTCAACCTGGTGCAGGTGGGAAGGAGCAAGCACTGAGTACAGATAAGCACTCCCCGGCCTGGTCTGCCCTGGACACACCGGAGGCCCCTTCTGGCCCACAGCTCTATCCTCATTAAAAACAGCCAATTCTGAGGATGCTTTTGAGGCTCAACTCCGGAATCAGGAAATGCAGCGGATGAGCCAACAGCGTGCTCCCTGGCCAGGCTGTGGGGGAGTGAGGACCGTGAGTCACAGGCAGCCAAGTGGGGCCTCAGGATGGAAACCTGGGCACAAGGCCTTCCTGCTTCTCAGACGACAGCAGAGCCCAAGCCCAGCCCATTGCCTGCTGGTCGTTAATTCCATGCCTCGGAGATCAAACCTTGGGTCGTGCTACTTGGATGCATTTTAAAGTTTCTCAGGAGCCAAAGTCCACCTCTTGGAGAAGCCTCTTTCAGCCAGGCATTCCTAGCTGCCTTGGCCACCTGCTCCCAGTGACACACATTCACAGAGATTTGTCGCTCAGGATATGGGCTCGTTACCGTTTCCAAATGAGGTCAGTGTATCCCTCCTCTGAGTTCCTTACACACACCCCTCCCTTAATGCTGACTCCTAAACAGAAATTAGGGAGCAAAAGGGTCCTGTTTCCATGCCTTCCTTTCAGGGATCCAGGGACAGCCAATCTTGCAAATCTCTCTTACTCGCTCTTCCCCCTGTTCTCTCTCTCCTCTCTCTCCTCTCTCTCTCTCTCTCTCTCTCTCTCTCTCTCTCTCTCTCTCTCTCTCCTCAAAACACCTTCCCCTCTCCTCCCCTCAAAACACCTTCTGCTGGAGCTAAGGACTTCCCCTTCAGAATCCTAAGGGAATGGCCACAGGAGGTTGGCATGAGGTTTCCTTCTCCCAACAGGTTTTTCCTGGTGATCTTAACTCCCTCCTAACATTAAAAACAGCCCGGGGAGGATGACTCACTCTGCAGCCCAGACAATGTGCACGTCCTGTGCCTTGGCAGGGCTAAGGCTTCCTCCCTCGGTGCTGCCATCAGAGTCCACCCGAGGCAAAACTGGGCAATGAGCAATGTTTGCCCGCAGCTCCCCCTCCCTTCTGAGCATTCCTCTGTCCCTCTGCCCTCACGCTGACCCCCAGGCCGGTTCCCACACTCCGGCCATTCCTGAACTCCTTTGCGCCCATCAAAGCTTCACGTCAAGACCCCCTAAGTGCCCACCTCTCTACTGGGCAACACGGCTGGCTATTGATACACCTGGATACAGCCAAGAACTCACTGGCTACCGATACAGAAGACTCAAGTTCTAGTCCTGGCCCTGCTAATTTTTAGCCATATTTTCTTGGATAAGCCTCAGCTCTCCAGTTGCATCATCTGTAAAATGAGATAATGATGCCTTCCTTGGCTCCTTCACAGGGACCAGGCAAGCTTCTGAGTCTCCACTGTCTCATCCTGTTAATTGGGGATAATAACACCATTCTTGACCACTTCACAGGGTTGCTCTCAGACTCGAAGGAAACCACCCATGTGATAGTGCTTTGAACACAGGGAAGTGCTAGATTCAAGAAGTGTGATGGGGAGAATCACACATGCCTAACAGCAGCCTCTTGGAGACAGTGCCTCGACCTGGAGAGGTGAGCCTGCTGTTTGGAGTCTGGGAACCGTAGACCTGAGAGGGAGATATGCTGGGGCAGGTGGGCCTCTTGGAACCTGTCAGATGGCATCACAGATGCAGCTGTCTTCTCTGCCCACACCCCTGGCCCAATGGTGCCCACGTGGCTGAGGTTTCCTTCCTGCCTGACACCAGCAGCCTCCGCTGCAGTCTGACAGCCCTATCTGGAAGGTGACCTGCTCCTTGGCCATTTCTCCTTGTTCTTCCTGCTCTTCCCAGGGTCTTTGGCACTTCCTGAGCGTTCTGCATCCCTCCACCCTAGAAAGCAAGCTCCATGGGTCTGCTCAGGGCTCGCCCCTCACAGGGTCCTGGGGGCAAGCTCTCCTAGCTGAGCCTGAGCCTGGCCAGAAACCTGAGTGATGCTGAGCAACTGCACCTGGTTCTGTGGTGGTGACAACAGCAGACTAACAACGACACTTAGTATTGATGTCACGCCGCCCACCAGGATGCCCGGAGGCACTGCACAGAGCCCTTCCAAAGCTCCTGCTGTCCCCATGGCTTATGTCCCAGCTGTGTCGGAAATGGGAAAACACCACAAAAGAAGTCGACAACAGAACCGGGTGTCCTGGGTTCCACTCCAAAAATCCAAAGAAAGAAACGTTCAGCTCTACTGCTGACATGCTGTGTGAGTTTCAAGTAGATCCTCCCCTTCTCTATGTGCTACTTAAGTGGGAACATAAAGAGCTCCATTTCCCTGGTGAAATGAGGGGGTAGAGGAGGTAATTCCTGACCTCTTAAGCATTGCACATAGATTCTGACCTCAGCCAACAGGTCCCTTGGTTCAACTTTCAAGTCCCTTGAAAGTAACACACCTATAGGCACACCTTGAGGAAGGCAAGCTCCTCTCATCAGACACATGGGAGAAATGTGGACACCCTGGTGCAGGAAACTCAAGTGTGGAGAAAAAAAGCAACTAAGGACAGCTCATTAAAACCAACCATTTGGGGTTTGGGCTTGGAGATTCCTTGTCTTCCTCTGGCCCCTGAAGGAAATGCCGATGTGGAGGTAGGTCTGCCATCCCTTAGCCAGGTTTGTTGGCTCAGAAGCCGGATGGCTGCACCGCATAGCAACAGCAACAGCCGCATTCCCTCTCCCGGGCTCATTTCCAACCCTCCAGGTAGGCAAGCGGCTTCGGGACTTGCAGTCTTAGGGGAAGGGGAAACCCTAGCTGAAGTGCCGGAGAAACCCTGGCGCTAGTGCCAACAAGTGGCCCGCACAGCTGCAGGACTCAAATGGGGCAGATTGACAAGCCAGGGGTGAGAGGAGCCCCTCTCTTCCCCTCTGCCACTGCACCATCCACCCCTTCCGCCCCACCCGACCCTGGAAACCACCTTACCCACCTTGCCCTTACCCTCCCACCCCACCCCCGCCTCCTTTCCCGCCCAGTACGCCCCTAGAGGGGATCTGTTCCCGCAGCAGTCGGGCACTGCCATGTGCTCGCCCCCTACCTCGGTGGCCATGTTCCGGGGGTGCTGACCGCTGGAGCCGACTGAGGGGTTGGGCAAGGAGGCTGTCCGCGGTGCCGTCCGCAGTTGGGCTGGCGGCGGCGAAATGGGGTCCTGGGGCGCTGTCCGTGGTGCTGATGCGGGGCGCCGGGGGGTCCCGGGCGCCGGGGGGCAAGGTGGCCCCCGCGGGCCCCCTTGGGTCCCTGGGTCAGGGCCGCTTGTGCTTGTTCCCGCGGGTGCTTGATGCGGGCGAGGGGGAAGGTGAAGGCCCCCGCCCCGAAAGCTTATTTCCTCCGCCGGGAACCGCCCGGCTGGCCGCCCGCTCCCTTGGAGGGCAACGGGTTGGGGTGGTGTTTTTTGAAAAGGCGGGGGGGGTGGGAAATTA